CTCCCATCCCGCTCCTACCGCCGCCCATGGTCATCCCCAACAACTTCAGCCTCATCAACTCATCCACCCCAACCTGCCCCACCTCCAGCCTCCCATATCCCCCCTCTCCCTCCTCCTCTCATAGCCCCCGCGCAGCAGCCAACACCACCAGGCTCCCCCGAAGTCATCAACACACCTCCTCCTTCCCCTCCCCACCTAACCCAGCAGCCACGTCGTTACCTCTTCCGCCCTTTCTCTGAAGTTGTCAACCCACCAGCCCCCACCCCTCCTTCACCACCTCCTCCTCATCATCTCCTCGTCATCTTCACGGCTCCCGAATCTGCAGCATCAGCTACCCCTCCGCCATCAACCATTCAGAATCTGCTCAACGGTTATAAGGACGTGTTTCCCGATGATCTACCCGCCGAACTTCCACCCGAGCGTGCTATTGACCATAGCATCCGCCTCATTCCAGGTTCTACACCGCCCGTGCGGCCAACCTATCGCATGAGCACCGCTGAACTTTTGGAGCTTCGACGCCAACTCGATGACCTTCTTACGAAGGGTTTCATCCGCCCCAGCACCTCACCATACGCTGCCCCCGTACTTTTCACCCGCAAGAAGGAAGGTGACTTACGCCTTTGCATCGACTACCGCGCCCTCAATGCCATCACGATCAAGAATAAGTACCCGCTGCCCCGTGTCGAGGAGTTGTTCGACATGCTTGGGGAAGCGATGGTTTTCAGCAAGCTCGACCTACGCTCCGGTTACCACCAGATCCGCCTCGCCGAAGACGACATCAATAAGACGGCGTTTCGCACCCGCTACGGCCACTTCGAGTTCCGAGTCCTTCCGTTCGGCCTCACCAACGCACCAGCCACGTTCATGGGACTCATGAACGATATTTTTCGGCCCTTCCTCGACCGCTTTGTCATCGTGTTCCTCGATGACATCCTCATCTTCAGCAAGTCTCTTGAAGAACATGCTCAGCACCTACGCATCGTCCTCGACACGCTCCGCCAACACCGCCTCTACGCCAAGCTCTCCAAGTGCACCTTCGCCCGTTCAAGCATCGGCTTTCTTGGCCACGTCATCAGCTCCAAAGGCATTGCTATGGACCCCGCAAAGGTCCAGTGCCTTGCTGATTGGCCAGCACCACGCACAGTAGCGGAGCTGCAAAGTTTCATCGGCCTCGCCAAGTATTACCGGAAATTCATCTTCAACTTCTCCCACATCTGCGCTCCTTTGACCGATCTCTTTCGTCAAGGAGCTGCCTTTCAATGGGGACTACAGCAGCAGACCGCTTTCACCGCAATCAAATCAGCACTCACCTCTGCACCGGTCCTCACCGTCGCTGACCCATCACGGCCGTACTTCATATGGACCGATGCCTCTGATGTCGCTATTGGTGCCATTCTTTGCCAAGACCATGGCCATGGGATGCAGCCACTTGCATTCGAGTCACGAAAACTTCAACCGGCAGAGCGGAATTATGCAACACACGATCGGGAGCTCCTTGCCATTGTCCACGCAATCAAGACATGGCGCTGTTACGTGGAGCTGCAGCCCGTCACCGTCTACACCGACCATCGCCCACTTCAACACCTGAAAACACAGCCCGTGCTCAGCCGCCGCCAAGCCCGATGGGTTGAGTTTTTGGAGCAGTTTGTCCCCTCACTCCAGATCATCTACCGCCCCGGAAAGCTCAATCCAGCCGACGTCTTGTCCCGACCACCACCGCCAGCCCCACCACCCACCAACCAGCCCCAACACTCCCCAACCAGCCCCACCTCATCACCTCCACCTCGAATTCCGAACCCACCCTTGCAACTCCATGGAACCAGCAGCATCACATGGGATGATGCCTTCATCACGAAGTTTCAGCGCGCCTACAAACGTGACCTGTTTTTTGTCAAGCAAGCACCTGAGGACCCGGCCTACTCATTTGAAAACCCATTTTGGTACAACGCTGTCACCAAGACCATTTGTGTCCCTACGGATCGTTCCTTACGGCAGCTGCTACTCTCCGAATACCACGACACCGGCAGCCACTTTGGTGTTGAGAAGACATACGCACGCCTCTCCAACGACTACCATTGGCCACGCATGCATGCTGATGTGCGCGACTTCATACGCACATGCCGAACCTGCCAACAACTCAAAGCACGCACCACCAACCGCTACGGACTCCTTCAGCCCATCCCTCCACCTACCAAAGTGTGGGATGAAGTCACCATGGACTTCATCATGGACCTGCCCCGAACACCCCGCAACTACAACGCCATCCTAGTTGTCGTCGACCGACTCTCCAAAATGACTCACTTCATCCCTACCCACACAACCGTCACCGCACCCGAAACAGCCCGGCTTTTCTTCGATCACATAGTACGTTTACACGGCCTCCCATCCGCCATCATTTCAGACCGTGACCCTCGCTTCTTGAGCAACTTTTGGCAAAGCCTCTTCAAGCTTCATGGCACCCGGCTGAAGTTTTCTACCGCATATCACCCAGAAACGGACGGACAAACCGAACGGATGAACCGCACGCTGGAAGACGCCCTTCGTGCACAAGTTAACGCTCGCCAAACGGATTGGGACCTCCACCTCACCGCCATCGAACTTGCATACAACAGCACACCCCACCTTTCCACTGGCCAGCCACCCTTCTACCTCGCAACCGGACAGCACCCACGCCTCCCCACAACCCCACCCTCCCACCTCTCCCACGCACCAGCAGCCTTTGAGTTCCTCACCTCCCTCGAATCAGCCATCGACGCCGCTCGCACCTCCATCCTTAAAGCACAAGCCAAACAGACCCACTATGCCAACTCCCACCGCAAGGATATCCGCTTCAAGGTTGGCGATCAAGTGTTACTCTCCACTGACCACCTACCCCTCCTACGCAAAGGCACAACCAGAAAACTTGCCCCTCGCTTCATTGGCCCATTCACCGTCACCCGAGTCCTCTCACCAGTCAACTACCGCCTCCAACTGCCCAGCTATATGAAGATACACCCCGTCTTCCATGTCCAGTGCCTCCGCCCTTTCCGTGCACCTTCACACGACCGTCCAGCCACACGCCAACTGCCACCGATGTTCGAAGGCAGCCCCGGCCTGTTTGAAGTTGCATCTATCACTGCTCACCGCGACACACCCCACGGTCGTGAGTTTCTTGTTCGTTGGAAGGATCAGCCTGCTAGTGAGGACTCATGGGAACCTGAGAGCCACCTTGACCGTGCTGCAACTGCCGTGAACCGTTATTTGACCAGCCATGGTTTGGCGCCGTGGACGGCGCCACTTGGAGGGGGAAGTAATGTAACAGTGCAGCCGAGTGCTGCCAACTGCAATGCAGGTGGGCAGAAGACAATTGTAACAGTGCAGCAGCACGGCGCCAAGAACAGTGCAGGTGGGCGGAAGTCAAGCGCCACCTCACCTGCAGTTCGGATTGGTCGAACGCCCCAACCTGCAGCTGGGCGACCAGATTCCGACACGCAGCCCAAGTCAATCCCACGCATGAAAATTACGAAACGCAGGACTCCGAAGTTCCGACCGCTCGCCGACTTCGCCAACAACACCGACGAAATTACAGCCCCGTAACCAAGCTCGCCATCCAATCCCGTACCGCAATAATTCTCTGAATTTCACGGCAGGTTCATTTCAAAGGGTTGGGTTACCATTGAGAAATTCAGAGAGAGTCGCGACTTGGGAGTGCGACTCGATGTTTGAATGTGCTCTATAAAATTGTACTGTCAAATTTGTGAAGAGATAGTGCAAATTCCAGAGAACTCCAGAGAGCACTCTATCCCCGTTTTCCTAGCCTACTAAGGCTGCTACTTCCCTGCCCAGCAACGTTTCACGAAGGGGACATCACTTTCGCACCTCCTCCCCGCTCCCCATCCTTCTTCGCCCTTCCACAATCCCTCCTGCGCGACGGCGCCGCCGCAAAAGGCACGAATGCGCAATTGACAGCAGGAGGCATCAGAGAAAGAAACGGCGCTCTATTCTGCCGGCCTCCCTCCCGCAGCTTCCTGCCAATTTCTTACTTTCCTGGCCATGATTCTTCCACCTGCTCGTTGGATAGTCTTAATAGAAACATAAACTTTCGCCCAGTCAGCGGTAGTGGCACTAACACTGTTGGCGGTCATCCCTAATGTTTCCTATTGGCGACGGCGAGTCGAGCGAGTGTCCCGTGCGTCGCCAACTGCTTTGCGAGTGCCGAAATTGTAGGTTGCGAGAGGCGGCCTCCCGAGCATCGCGGGCGTCGAAGCTGCACGAGCAGCTGGCGATGGCGAGTCAATATGACGAGCAACGGCACCGTCATCGTCATCGCCGCTTTTGACAACTCTCATAAGTCATCGACGCTGCTGAAAGGATAGCTCAATCCCTGCTCCTTGTTTCCTCCCTGCTCCTTTCCCCATGCTTGTTCCCTCCCTGCTCCTCACCAGGTTTTGCTCCTTATCCTCATTCTGTACGTGTTGCGAGGCAATATCCATTTGCCATGTACCCTTCCGGGCGGCCATTTCGTCGTCTTTGCCGTTGACCATCCTGCCCGATCAGGTGCGTCCTGCTCAGAGCACAATCGGTGTCCTGTTGAGGTGACGTATGGCTGGGTGCTGCATGGCTGGGTGCTGCATGGCTGGGTGGCGTTACACGCTTGGCTGGTCGTCACCTTCCCGCGCTACATGCCGGTCCCAAGCTGGACCAGTTTCCTTCCCCTGCCTTTAGTCGCAGTGCTACCCGCAGCAGCACGCTAGACAGCAACAGTGCTGTGCGTATAGGCAGCATAGCTACCTCCAGCGGTATGACTTGCAGCAGCAAGCTAGGCAGCACTGGTGGGAGTATGTGGACTCCACATGGCAGCAGCATCGGTTTTACCACCAGCAGCAACGATAGAAGCTGCAGTGGCAGCAGAGGCGATGGCGACGACAGTTTATTGCTGCCAGGGGTGAAGCACATCGTGGCTGTGGCGTTCGCGAAAGGCGGCGTCGGCAAGTCCACCACTGCTGCTGCACCTCACTGAATCACCGCCTCACCGCCTCACCACCATGCCCCTCGCCGCTTCCTCTCCGCTCATCATTTCCCACCCTCTCCTCCCCCTCCTCTCCACTGCCCTTCCCATCCGCCTTCGTTACCTGCCTATCCCCCTCCCCACCCCCCTCCTGTTCCCCCTCCCCACCCACCTTCCCTTCCTCTCTAACCCATCCCCCTGCCCACCCCCCCTTCCCGTCAGCCTCCCCATCCCCCTTTCCTTCACTGCATGTGGACAGGCTCCCATACACGCTGTACTCACCCCTGCCTTCTTCCACACATACCATTCACCCCATTCTATCACCCCCTTCCTTTCCTAAAATCCCTCTCGCCCCATGCACCTGACTGCGTGCCTCCCCCTGTATGCCTCTTCCACCGTGCCCCTCACCCCGCACCTCTCAATGCATGCCTCTAATCGCATGCCCATCTTCCCTTATCCCCCCATCCCCGCATCCCCCTCATTTAACCATCCCACATTCCCTCCTCCCCTCCTCCCCCCAATCCCATCGTCCCCTCCCCCTCCCCCACCTCTCCCTCTTCCCCCCACCGTGAACCTGGCAGTGGCACTCGCAAATGGGGCTGCTGGACGCTGACGTGTTCGCCCCTCACTGCCCAACTTGCTCGGCCTGCACATTGTCGCCTCCTCCCCCTTCTTGTCCGCTGGGCCTGGAAACTGCCGGCTGCCCCCTGCTCGCCTCGCCCTTCTCCCACGCATGCAGGCGCACGGCATGCTCTGCATGTCCGCTCACGTGGGCTGGGAGTGTGGGCTTCCTCGTGCCTGCACACGTGGCGACCGTATGGCGTCGGCCCATGGTGATGTGATGGCGGCAGTGGAGAAGCTTGTAAGGGGGACGGAGTGGGTGGGATGGACGTGCTCGTGGTGGACATGACGCCCGGCATGGTGACGTGTAGCTCACCTTGAGCCAGCGGTCAGGCTGTCAGGTGTGTGGCAGATGGGATGGGATGGGTTCGGATGGGTTGCGATGGGAGGGAATGGGTTGGGATGGGAGGGGATGAGACGGGAGGGGAGGGGAAGGGAGGACATAAGATGGGATGGGTTGGATCGGCATGGGAGGGAAGGGAAGGAGATGGGATGGAATGGATTGGTTGGGATGGGATGGGATTGGTGCAGCGAGTAGAGGAGATGGGATGGATGGGTGGGATGGAGTGAGGCTAGCACAATGGAAGGTAGGGAGGGCATGAGTGGGTGGATGCATGAGTGGTGGTGGCCATACTGCATGGCATGGCAGCAGGGGGGTACAACAGGGGAGGGGCAGCAGGGGAGGGGCGGCTCGGCTTCTAAGGCCACACTGCCTGCCCATGCTCTCAGCTCTGCTGGCGATGCCCATGCTCCCATGCGGTCACTTCCACCAGCAGCACGGGCGGATGAAAACGGTGGGGCAATGGATGTGGTGGTGGTGATGATGGCCATGGACGCCACCAGCCGTGCTGGGAGCACCAAGACACTGGAGTGTGGTGGGTGCACAACCCCAGCTGCACATCCCAACTGCCTGCCCGCTCACCTGCCTAGCACTATGCCCGCTGACTCCCTCCCACTGCTGCATTCGCTTCATTTGCTCGTGGCGCTTCATTTTCCACTCTTCTGTCGCTCCTGTTCATTGCTCACCACCCTCACCAGGAGTGGTGGTATCGACGCCGCTCAGGACCTCACACTGATGGACGTGCAGCGAGGAATGAATATGTCCTGACAGATCAACGTGCCGGTGGTTGATGGGGTGGTGGGACTGTGTGAGTGAGTGGAAGTCGTGTCAGCAAGTGAATGTACCTGTGGGCTGTTCGTACTCCAATGACCGGTTGCCTCACTTGTTGAGAGAACCCGGTGGAACTGGTCATGGCGGAGGTGGGTGGGGCGGGTACCTGGCAGAGGCAGGTTGCTCGAACAGGTGGTTCCTGGGGATTTGCAAAGCAATTCTTTTCAGTGGGTTTGTGGGAGAAGTGGTTTGGCGCTTTCATTTGTTCATGGCAAGGGTGGTTCATGACAGAGGATTAGGTGCTTGCCCTGTGACCCTTTTCCTTTTGTTTTGTTCATCACAACATACCCCTCCCACTCTTGGCCTATTTTCCGCCTTCCACCCTTCCCCGGTTGTAAATCTCTACTTTCTTGCCCTGCATGCTTTCATTTGTCTACTCCCTACGGCTTCCCTTTCTCCTCTGCCGGCACCCGTCCCCCACCCCTCTTTCACCCGCCAATCCCCGTTCTTCTGAATTCTCCCGCCATCCATCTGCAGCCAATCCGACAACGGCCCCTGTCTTACTCTCGGCGCTTCGGCTGCTGCTGCAAGCGGGAGAGAAGGCGGGGCGACAGACAGTGGGGACAGCTGTAGACGGGGCAGCAGTCGATGGCGTGGCAAACGGTGGGGCGTCAGAAAAAAAGGGTGGGGGGGAGGGGGGGACGGCGGGAGGGAGGGAGGATGGGTGTTGGGGAAGGGGAGGGTGAGCAGGGGGAAGAGTCCAGAGGAAGGGACAGATGCTGGGAGTGGTGTGTTCGAGGCGGCAGTGGTGGTAAGATATGAGCGCCTGGTGAGTGGCTCCGCCTTCCTTGCCTTGCCCACCGTTCCCACCCCTCTGTGCCTACCTGGTCACTGCCTCCCCTGTCAGCACACCCATCCCACGAATCCTTGCATGCGGCGTTCATCCGTGCACCCGCCTCAGCTACCAGCTGTCTCACCAACGCCCTTTTCACCAACACCATGCGCCCGTCTCACCAACGCCCTTTTCACCAACACCGTGCGCCCGTCTCACCAACGCCCTTTTCACCAACACCATGCGCCCGTCTCACCAACGCCCTTTTCACCAACACCATGCGCCCGTCTCACCAACGCCTTTTTCCCTTGCCCGCCCCCCTGCTTCTCTGTCTGTCCTTTGCCAGCCCTTCTCCCAACCTCCCACTCCTCTGACCCCTTCATCACCTCCTCTGCGTTTGATGTGGTTTCCAGCAAGTTTCGCTTACTCCCCTCAGTCCTCTTCCGCCTCCCCTCCCCGGCTGGCTCCCTTGACCTCCACCCATTCCACAGCTTGCTGCATCCTGAGTGGTATTCTTTCTCGCTCGGCCTTCCCCATCCTCTCCTCGCCTCCTGGTAGAAAAGGCCCTTCCTCCACCCACACCCTGCTCCCCCCAGGTCACCCCAGGGGGCGTGGTGTCCGGTGTGTGCCACGGATTGCCAGCAATGGAAGGACTTCACAGCTGGCAGGTTGAGCTGGCATGCCGCATGGAGGGGCGAGGAGGGGCGGGGGGGAGAGAGAACAGCTTTCTTCCGAGAAGCAGCATGGGGGATGCGTGTGATGCCCGCAGAGACAGTGAAAGCAGCAGTGGGAGGGCAGTGTGGTGGGCGGGGCATGGCATGATGGCAGCAAGGGTGCACTACAACAAGGTGCTTACACAGGACATTCTGCTCGCCCTCGCTGCTTACACCCGGTCAGACGCTCACTCATTCCGCAATCCATTTCACTCGTTTCACGAACTAAGGAGGGGAGGAAGGGGGGGATAAGGGGGGGTGAAGGGGGTGGGGGGGGAAATGGAGGAGGGAGGGGGATGCAGCACAGTGGGTGGTGTATTTCTGTGTTTCTGCCTGAAATTCCACTTAGCCTGCCCAATCCACCTCTTCTGTATCATGTGCACGCTTTTGTATGCAACCAATCGTGCACTGTGTGAAATGCGCACGTTCCAACTTGGCAGAGGAGAGTCGGCGCTGCACGTACTCGAAGCGTCCTTTGAGGAGTCTGTACTTTCACCTCCCCAACCTCACGTTCCGCCTTCTTCCCTCCCATATCAGCCATCAACTGCTCCTAGCAGTCTGCACTCGGAAAGTTCCAGCAGCCACATGATCGGTCTTAAATGTGCGCTCTAGTGGGGGAACGGGTGCCAGGATCACGTTGCACATGCACTGCTGCAGGAGCAGCTGCAGCGTCCAACCTCAGTGCCTGTAGTAACAGCATTGTGGTGGTTGTGCCTATAGCAACTCCTCCCACCCAACTCAGCTTCTCCAACGCCCGCGATTATCCTCCCTGTCCTCTCCCATGTGCCTTTCAGCTGGCAGCAGCTCATTTCTACAACTCCATCGCACCGTGCCCAGCAGCACTCCACTCCACGCCACCCTCTTTCCTCTGTCGTCCCCCTCTTGCCATTCACTCCGTAGATGAACCATCTCAGCTCCTCTCCATCCCAGCTCCTCCCCATCTCAGCTCCTCCCCATCTCAGCTCCTCCCCATCTCAGCTCCTCATCTCAGCTCCTCATCTACCCACCATCACCCTCCCATTTGCTTCCACACCGACCCAGCCGAGCAGCATCATCTTGGTATGGGAGCATCAAGGGGAAGAAGAATGCCATCTTGATATCTCTTCTTCCCCTTCATGATCCTTTCATTCTTTTCCGTTCACATTCTCATTTTCCCGCTCTGTCCCTGTAAACTTCCTTGTCTCCCTATGCTATGCCCTCCCTTCTGTGATTCTTACGGTCAACAACTATTCCCAGCATCCCCTGCCACCCAGTTCATCCCGTTGTGTCATGCCCTTCAACCTACTATGTCATGCCCCTCATTAGATCACCCCGTGAACAAACCAAGTGTGTGTCCCTTTCCCGTTTGTATCCTCCTCTTCTACCCGCCATTGCTTCCCCATTGCCTCATGCATCCTCTTGCTCCTCTACCCACCATCCCAGCCAAGCAGCAGAGTTGGAACCGCTTTGCAAGTGCACCCCATCCCATTCCTCATCCCATACATCATCCCACATCTCACCCCATACCCATTCCATACCGCATCCGATCCCGCATCCCATACCCCAAATCATACCTCATTGCATACCTCATCTCATTCCTTGCCCTTACCGTCATTTCATATCTCATCCCATGCCTCATCCCATGCCTCATCCCATGCCTCATCCCATATTTCATTCCATACCTCATCCCATGCCTCTCATACCTCATCCCATACCTTATATCCCATCCTCCCTATCCTCTCCTTCTGCCTTCAACCAGCTGTCAGCAGTTTGATCATACGATTGCATATACCCTGCGCTTCATGCCTTTGGGTCATGCCCCTTCTTTATGTTCACTCGAACATCTTCCAGTTTGAAGGATTTTGCTCCTCTCACTGATGTCGCCTGCTGTCACTCACAGCAAGGTTGCTGAAGTGAAGGCAGTGCTGACAGAAGCATTGAGGGCAAGGGTGACTTCGAGAAAGGACGATGGCGATCAGTTTGAGGCTCAAGTGCGCAGCAGCATGCATCACAGGTTCCCCTTCCTATGCAGACACAAGCCCACGTTATCCTGCTTCGCGTCTGCCATCTGTGCCATGTCACACCCAGCCAACAGACAGACCCCTCTAAATGTCTAGCTGCCACTCATTCACACCACCTTGGATCCGTAAATTGTGATGCAACTCTTTAAACAGAACGAATGTGTCCATACTGTTGCCTTGAGATGATAATTCTGTGGGTTCTATTGGGGCAGCAGCAGATGAACATCGTTATACACATGCACATCTTTAAACTTCCTCATGCTTTGACAGGAATGCATTTTAGATTCTGCTGTTTCTACCGGTGCACGAGTTCAGAGAAATTGTACACCTGCTGCACTAAAAAGCAAGCAGGCATACCATGCATGCAGCTTTCCCTCGTGCACCTGGTCCTTTGCCCTACACATTCAACTGCCCAACTGCAAGGCATGGGATTGATAACTTTTCCAAGTCTAAATAAAATGCAAGTTCTGCAGCACCACCACTCTGCCTCATCCCTCCGCACCGCATTCTTCACATCCCTTGCCTCCACACTGCTTGTCATTCTCCCTTTAGACAGCCACAGCCAGCTCTTCCCTCGCCTCACCTCCCTTTCCATCATCACTCACTACCACTTCCTGTTTATTCGCCAGCGTACGTCACCATCCAAATAAGAATCCCCTCCTGGCAGCGAGAGATTTGTCAGGTTCGTCAGGGCAGACAGGTGCCACAGCCCAGCATCCGTGACTGCGGTGCCATCTAGAGAACGATCCTCAAGCCCTGTCAGCTTCCCCACATGCACCATGCCAGCATCTGTCACACTTGTGCACTTGATAAGGACCAGTGCTTTCAGAGAGGACAGAGGTCTCAAGTGTGCCAGGCCAGCATCGGTCACCTTCGCTTGATTGAGAAAGAGGTACTGGAGACTGGCCAAGGACACAATACCTTCCAAGGCACTGTCTGTTATATATTTTGCGCAAAAGAGGTCTAGCATCTCCAGCTATGGCAGCTTGTAGAGGTACTTGATTCCATCTGCAATGAAGCCTAAGCTATGCTGCGGTTAGAGGATTGCTGCCACGGGGGAGCGGTTTGAGGCCACGGGAGGGAGGATTGAGGCCGCGGGAGGGAGGATTGAGGCCGCGGGAGGGAGGATAAGGGGTGATTGTTATGAGATGGTGCCGGTAAGCAATGGGGGGGCCCGCGAGGAGGGGAGAAGGGGGATTAGAAAAGACGGAGGGATAAAGGGTGCTGGCACAGGACATGCGCGAGTGGCCGGCCTGCGGGTGGGCGAGAGGGGCAGAGAAGGGGGGGAGGGAATACGGGGGATATGGAAGGGTTAAGAGGCGATGGGGGGAAGAAGATGGCAAGGGTTCAGGAACGTGAGGTCTATGAAGCAGGATGTAGGGGTTCTCTCCTCTGCTCTTTGTCACCCCATTCTTCCCCTAACCCTCCCCCCCTCCCCCCCTCCCCCCTGCACGCCTCTTTCCAACGCCTCTTCCCCACTCCTCTCGCCCACACCACTCCACCACACCTACTCCCCCCTTCCTCTCTCCTACCCCTCTCCCCCACCCCTTTCCCCCACTCATTTTCCTCACCCCTCTCCCCCACCTCTTTCCCCCATGCATTTTCCTCACCCCCCTCTCCCCCCCCACCCCTTTCCCCCACGCATTTTGCTCACCCCATTCCCCCACCCACCCCCTTCCCCCACGCATTTTCCTCACCCCTCTCCCCCACCTCTTTCCCCCATGCATTTTCCTCACCCCTCTCCCCCCCCCCCCACCCCTTTCCCCCACGCATTTTGCTCACCCCTTTCCCCCACCCACCCCTTTCCCCCACACAATTTCCTCACCCCTCTCCCCGTTCAAGAGGATGCTGATTTAAGAATGAAGGTTGGAGAGTGTAGGAGGGTCTTGCTGCTGTAGTACAAAAGCCTGCCAGAAGTCTTGGGTTCCTATTGGGCTGCCAAGCACCTTGCCGCCTCCATCGCCTAGAGGCGGGAGGCTGGTGATGTTGGCAGCCCCTCCGGCCGAGACCCAGTGGGTCACTTTGGCGGACACTTTTGGAGCTGAGAAGGGTGTGTGCAGGGTTCTGGCGCAGGAGCAAGTGGGGAGGGCTGCCTGTATGTGTTGATGATGTACGGTGAGGAACCTTGGAGAGCTGAGTTCCGTTGGGGTCTCCAATATTCCATGCGCCCAACAGAGTCTACAGGTTACATGCAGCTGCTCGTCTGTGTTGCTGGTCTGTGTGTGCCCGTCGCACCCAGCTCGCCAAGAAGACCTCTTTCTCTCAGAGCTCGAGGAAGGGCCCGCATGGTTCGGGCTCACACCATGATCACATCACATAACCACCTCAGTACCCCATGACCTCATCACCCCAAGATCGCATCTACCCCATGGCAGAGCATCGTGGCAGGGTGCACTAGGTGTGCTGTGTGCAGCCGTCACTCTCCCTTCCCCTTACACTTTCCCATTTCCACCCCTTTCTCCCTTTCCCTCGTGTAGCCCCTCCGATTCTCCATCCCGATTGCCATCCGCACCTCTCCAGGTGAACACAGTGCAGCAAGCAGCGTCCATCACACTGCTCCAATCCGCCTATCCTGCATCACCTCATTGCTCTCTCTTGCTCCCTCTCACCACCCTTCTCCCCTATCACCCACCGGTGTGCATAGTCCTGTCAGTAGCATCCACCCCCTGCCGTCTCTACACCCACACATTGATCAGCAAGCCCTCATCTCTACACTGAGGTGAGTAGTGCGTTGTATCGAACCTGCTTCTACCGAAACGGGTCTCTCCTCTAATTTGTGATCTGGCTTGCTGCCACTGCCATTGGCAACTCATCATCTCTCGTGTCCACCCATCAATTTGGAGGAGTCAGTCTCATGATCTTATTGCTTCATCACACGTTCACCCCATCCACACAGCACCATCCCCATTACCCCATCAACCAATCAGACCATCACCTCTTCACCCAACCAGCTCGTTGCCTCATCATCCCATCACCCCATCACCCCATCCCATGATTGGTGGGGCGCATGGTGCAGGTCGGTGGTACAGGTTGGTGGTTTGCCGTCCACAAAAGTGAGGAGCTGCCCTTGATCTCCCCTACCTTTCCATTTTCCCTTCAATCCCAACAGTCCCTATTTTGCAGGCGCAGAGCCAACATCGCCAGCGTTAGAGCAGTGAGCTGTCTCAACAGTGGACTGGCTCATTCCAATTGGGCGCCTTTCCACCAGGCACTGAGCTCTGCTAGTTCTCAGCCTTCATCCTCCCTGCCTGCCCTGCCTTCCCTTCCTTCCCTTACCACCCTCGACTACCATTACCAACCCCTACTCTGCAGGCAGTACCCAGCAGGTGCAAGGCCAAGATCCCCACTCTCATCACCGTCGCCTTCATTGAAACCTTGGGGACCTCTGGCACTTGGCTTTGCCTCGTCCCAGCCTTCGCCATCCTCGCCCTCGCAATAGAGAGCAGCTCATTGCTCAACGATGTTGATTTCTGATTTCCGCGATTTGTCATTGCGTGGATGCTGCTGAATGGAAGTCTGCTGCTGCTGCTCTCCAAGGGTGGCAGCATGATTTTGTCCTTCCTTGCCCATTGATCCCCATTTTGAGAGTGTCAAGTCGTTCTACTTCTAAATAGCAGCCGGCTAGTTATGTTGCCCAGGAGTGACGGCATGTTCCTGTTATTATTACCCACGGATCCCTCCGACATTTGACCATCTGGCATCAATGCAAGAACTTCTCTTTGGTGTACCGATGGAGGGAGGGGAAACAGATGAAGGTGAAATGGAACACAACTAGAGGGGATGGATCCTCACCTGACTGCCTCCCACCGACGACACCACCAACCCCACCAGCAATTGAGGGGAAAGGGTGGACTCGTTTGCAGCGGACCTGGCTATATGCATTTGGTCAATCTGAGAAGCACGTGATATAATTGGTAACTTCATTCAAACTAGCCCAATTTTGCATATTTGGCAAGTAAGCAGTGCAGATATAACTTGGGAAAACAGAGAAAAAAGGGTATCACTTTTTGAACTTAAAAAGGTCCTCTTTAGACCAGGGGGACTCACTTTCCGGTTATATCCAGAAAAACAGCCGCATCTTGTCTAGGTTGCGGAACCTGCCATTCTGATTTGATCAACGGAACTCATGCTGGTGGATAGCAGCACATGTGAGGATAAGCTGGAGTCTGGGGTGCCGCGGTGAGAGAGAGGATACACGGGGGAGCGATGATACGCTGGGGGGGCGGACGAGTAGAGCGAGGCGGGGTGGTGCAGCAGCTAAAGTTGCTCGGAGGGCCTGCCCGGGTGGTGAGGGATGAGCTCATCAGTGAGCTTTTGCACCTGATGGCCTTCAGACGACTTTTGAGTCGACTCAAAAGGCAGCTAGAGTTGGTCCGAGGGCCTGCCCCCGGGTGGTGAGGGAGGAGCTCATCACTGAGCGCGTGCACCCGATGGCCTTCAGACTCACGTGCCTTGTTGCGCGACAGCCTGCCACACAGCACACACACGCACACGCATGCACACACACGCACGCGCGCACGCACGCACGCACGCACTCGTACACACACACACACAAACAACCCCCCCCCCCCCACTCCCCCCTCCCCCTCCCCCTCTCCCCCCCCCCCCCTCCCACACCCACATCCACCCACCATGCAGAAGGCGAGGACGCCCCCCACGGGCATGACGGCGAGGGTCCAGAGGGAGTGAGGCCACGTGTCAAAGTAGGGCAAGGAGGCGAGCGAGGACCACGGCTCGTGCAGCAGCGAGAAGATGCCGCACACAAGCGCCATCACGGGCGCCAGATACTGCAGCAACGTGAGCAGCGGGTTGGTCAGGCCTGTTGGGGTAGAGGGAGGGCGGACTTGCGGTTGGTGGGAGGCAAGGGGAACTAGGAGGACTGGAAAGGAGATAGTGGCATGAGGATGGCGTGACCATAGCAAATATGCGAGGAAGGGTGAGAAACCGGAGGATTGTGGCGTGTGGGAGAGCAAGCACAGCACACAGGCACTGTGGAGCTGGGGCTGCACCCGGAAATATGAGGTGAGTGAGGAGGAAGGGGCAACGCGACAGATGCTTACCAAGTGTGTCCCTCTGTCACCAGTAGAAGCGACGACAGCATGGTGAGATGGTGAGTAGATGTTGTGAGCGTAAAGGGTAAACAGGAGACGAAAAGAGTGGGTTAGTTGGTTGATGCAGCAGCACACATAGCAGCACAGCAGCAGCACAGCAGCACACAGTAGCACAGCAGCACACAGCAGCATACACAGCAGCAGTGAGCAGCAGCTTACCTGGAGGAGCACTTGCAGCAGCACCCATCGGAGACCCGCCATGAATGAGGCCAGCATGACGAAGATGAAGCCCAGCAGCTCAAACTCCGTCTCCCCCACCACTGGGAGCACCACACGCCACTCGAGGGCACACCACACGGAATGTCAAAAGCGCGAATTAAGTCAAAGAACTCTGCTCGACGCCCATGTATAAATCAGGCGTTGCGTTGCAATGCTGATTGGGGGGTGGAGCGCACGGAAATGGTAGTGATACAAGAGGAAAACTGAGGCACGGTAGAAAAAAATGTTGGATGGTCATCGAATTACCCTCCCAGCCCCCTCCCCCTTCCGTTCTCCCTTCCGTTCCCCCTCGCCCCCCCCTCCCCACCCTATGCCGAGCACGCCGACGGAGATGATGAGCCTGGTGCCCACCCATGCTTCTACTCTATGCATCGCAACGTGCTGTGTGTGTGGAGCGCACCCAAGTTTGAGTGCCACACTGGACCTTTTCTGCAACGGATAAGATATCACAAACACTTTTGAGTACACCCACGCTTGAGCAAACCCCCGTAAGCGGATCATTTTGACCAAGGAGACTGCAGTGAATGAAGCGGATAAGATATCGCACAGTGACGACGAGGGAGAATAAGGGCAGGACAGCGTACCATGGAGTAGAAGGTGCGGGTGACGAGCGCGAGGGAGAAGCTGGAGAGGGCAATGTGAAGCGATGTGGCCACTGCCGTGGGCACCACTGCATGCACGGGGCAGAGCACACAGGGCACAGGCCAACACACGTTTAAACAAGTAAGCATCCATTAGAAAGCCGCCTGAACCGAACCAGCCTCAATGGACAAGTTGCAGAACGTGCAAGCACGAGTTCCTGAGCGCGCCCATCCCCATTCTCAATCCCTCCCTCCCACCCACACGGCGAACCTCGCACGAAGTAGTCGCGCCAGGAGATGGGGGAGGCGGGCAGCCACGAGTGGCAGCAGAGGTGACTTTTGAGGCTACTCAAAAGTCAGTCAACTAGAAACACTTTTGAGTCAACAAATCAAGTTACCTCGCACCACGTGACCGATCAGCACCTTGTTGTACCAGCCCACCCACCCACGGCCACCACCGCCCCGCCACCCACCCACCCACCCATCCATTCACCACCGCCCCGCCCGTGCGTACATGCATGGCGATGCGATAGTGCAATGCATAGCGGGAGTGCACAGGTACAGCAGGGGGCGATAAAGGGTTGCTTGCAAGGGGAGATACGAACGGGCGAAAGGGCCCTTTAGATGGATGGCCAGCCCAGTGAGCAATTTGATCACGCCCTGGGGGAGTGGCAACTACAGGGAGGGTGGCTACACAGGAAAAGCGACATGCTTACAGGGAGCGCGGCATGCTACAGCGCCATGCTTAGAGCAGCATGCTTACAGGGAGCGCGGCATGCTACAGCGCCATGCTTAGAGCAGCATGCTTACAGGGAGCGCGGCATGCTACAGCGCCATGCTTAGAGCAGCATGCTTACAGGAAGCGCGGCATGCTACAGCGCCATGCTTAGAGCAGCATGCTTACAGGGAGCGCGGCATGCTACAGCGCCATGCTTAGAGCAGCATGCTTACAGGGAGCGCGGCATGCTACAGCGCCATGCTTAGAGCAGCATGCTTACAGGGAGCGCGGCATGCTACAGCGCCATGCTTAGAGCAGCATGCTTACAGGGAGCACGGCATGCTACAGCGCCATGCTTAGAGCAGCATGCTTGCAGGGAGCGCGGCATGCTACAGCGCCATGCTTAGAGCAGCATGCTTACAGGGAGAGCGCCGTGCTGAAGGTGTGCCAGAGCAGCACGAGCAGCACCACCTTAACCGCCGACCACAGCCACGGCGCGCACCATGGCGACACGCGCAACGCCGATGCTGACCCAGCAACGTCATCTTCCAGGTCCGCTGGCACGATAACATCTTCGCTATTCGCCATAGGCCGACTCGATTCCGTGATCGATTTGACCTGGATGGCATTGCTTGTGGCAAGTCGCGGCGAGAGCAGCGCTTGGCTCTCATTGGTCGACATGATGGCGAACAGGAACAGCTACGATGGTCAACCCTAAACTCCGCACTAATGAATTCTCGTGGCAGGGTGGCGTGGAGATTCGATCATAGCTCTCAACGCGAAGAGATGGACGAACGCGACTGAGTGTCGCACACAGGGTCGCCAGATCGCAAAATGCTGCGCTTGGAGCTTTTTTCCAGATAGCGCGTTTTGAGACGTCTCTAAACTAGATTGCTGCGCTTGGAGCTTTCTTTCAGAGCGAGATCGACCCGAGCAGCGAGCGACTGCACGCGCTAGTCGCTCAAAATGCGGCGCCACTCTGTAGGACGCCGTGACGGAAGCAGGGAAGCGCCAGATACGCCCAAAAAAAAAAAAAAAAAATCAGCATTCGGTATCAGTGCGCTTGTGATCGCTTGTGAATCCGGATACCACAAGCGCTTGTGATAACTAGAAACGCCACGCGACTCGTAGATTTTGCGGAAACTAAGATGGTGGGAGGAGCATGTGAGCATATGTGTGTGCCCGACATTGCAAGAGCCCACTTGAACCTATTCTACGACAGTAGTTCAGCTTGCATGGTTTGCCTAGTTGATGCTCGGTTACCACTCGCCTCATTCAACGAAGAAGCACGAAGTTGCAAAAGTACAGCTAGTGGGGTACTACAAACAAATGTTGGTCGACAAACCAACAAAGGAATACGAACCATGTTTAGGATGGCAACAGCTGACTCACAAGCTCAGGCATCGAATTTGGAGTCGCGTCCCAAATTCGTACCTTGATTACGGCCGTGCTTGGGCGAAATGAGAACGACGCAGGGCCTGCTTGTTTGGCAGTTCACTTCGCGGAACTAATAGGTGTGCGAGATAAATTTCATCTCGCAAAACACGGGTGGTAACATACAAATGGCAATCGGCTGTGGATTCTGAAATGGAACGGTTGTGTCGAACTCGAAGAACTTATTCGAGGTCAAGAATATCTTAGTTTTGTCGTGGGCTAGTAACGCGCGGGCCGTTGGCTGTGAATGTCGACCACTGGGCGTATGGAGTGGCAGTGGGCGTGTTCAGAGTGGGCGGTTGAGTGAGCATTAGGGTGTACAGCTATGTCTAGCCACCATAATCTGAGTCGTGACGCATACTAGGCGTGCATTGCAAGAGCGCTATCTCCCATCGCAAGAGAAGGCGACTCGAATCGCCTCTACGAACCACTACGACTCGCGGCGGCGCCATTCCCTTTGCGACTCGTACTATACTCCGCGCATCCTGTGCTCTCGTCACTATTTTTTGGTCCGCTCGCTCCGTCGCAACACTTTCGAATTTGCCGCGTCGCGCCATCACGCGCCACGCGCTGCAGATCGACGTACCGCGCCGCCGCTGGGACACTTCGAGCCGCGGAAACGATAGTCTAAGAAACCCTAGTTAGAGGTAAGCCTCCCCATCCATTCCCCAGTCAGACCTTCGCTTTCAAATCTTTGCAAGCCTGAGGCTCACAACTCATGGTCTAGGCACTTCTAGTCTGTCAGAGGGGGTCGATGCGCAACTGTTGGTTACACACGGAGTTGCTTACGGATTCTGCACACTGCCAAGAGACTAGCAGAGCCCCTTGACGCATTCGTTGCCCTTATTAGCATTGCTGCTTTCGCCCTGGTTCACGGAGTCACGCTGTCACTCACCCAGGCAATGACCGTCCAAGCATGTGACCCAGCTCTCTCACTGACCTGGGCTCTCGTTGACCTGGGCTCTCATTGACCTGGGCTCTCATTGACCTGGGCTCTCATTGACCTGGGCTCTCATTGACCTGGGCTCTCATTGACCTGGGCTCTCATTGACCTGGGCTCTCATTGACCTGGGCTCTCATTGACCTGGGCTCTCATTGACCTGGGCTCTCATTGACCTGGGCTCTCATTGACCTGGGCTCTCATTGACCTGGGCTCTCGTTGACCTGGACTCTCGTTGACCTGGGCTCTCATTGACCTGGGCTCTCATTGACCTGGGCTCTCGTTGACCTGGGCTCTCATTGACCTGGGCTCTCGTTGACGTGGGCTCTCGTTGACCTGGACTCTCGTTGACCTGGGCTCTCATTGACCTGGGCTCTCATTGACCTGGGCTCTCATTGACCTGGGCTCTCGTTGACCTGGGCTCTCATTGACCTGGGCTCTCATTGACCTGGGCTCTCATTGACCTGGAATCTCATTGACCTGGGCTCTCGTTGACCTGGGCTCTCGTTGACCTGGGCTCTCATTGACCTGGGCTCTCGTTGACCTGGGCTCTCATTGACCCGTGCTCGGACTGACTTTGGGCTTTATTTTAGGCTCTCATCGTTTCCCTGGTGTGTTTTGTTGCCCTGGTTCAGACACTCACGCTGTCACTACGCAGTCAAGAATTACCACGCTATAAAATGGATCTCTTAGCGATGCTAACATAGTAGAAACAGCCTAAAGCTAATCGCTAGGTGGCCAAGTTAGAATCAGTCTATGCTTGATTTCAGGGTGCGAAGGCAGAGCGACCCCAAGCTGATGACTAGGTTATCTCTGACCTAACTGCAAGTGACCCCACATTTGTCGAGGCTAACCTGTGACTGACCTAATCTGTGTCGGGCTTGCTTGTGCTTGGCCTAGCCTGGGACTAGGCATGAGCAAATAGCGACTTGTTTTAGTAACGAGGCAACGCGAGTTTTACTCTTTACTCGTCCAAAAAGGCGAGTAACCTACCTATTTGTCACGGATAAGAAAATGATCACAGCGAGGCAAGTGATACTCGCCTCGCCAGGAACACCTGATGTTGAGTTCATTACTTTTCATGGAAACATTGATCTGCAACCTCTTCCCCCCCCCCCCCCTCCCCTCCCCCCTCCCCCCCCTTCCCCCCTCATGAAAGTACTTTCATTTTCGCCTATATTCGCCTGTTAGTGTCCTAGCATCTGACTGACCTACCTTGTCATTGTCCTAGCCTGTGAGTGTCCTGGTTTCTATTTGTTCTTGCTTGTGCTTAACCTTACTGGTGATTGGCCGAGCTTGGGACTGTTGCAGCCTCCGACTGGCCTAATCTGTGAGTGACCTAGCTTGTAGCTTACCCAGCTTGTCACCAACTTGGCCTCTGAATGACTATCATAGGCCCTGACTAACCTAGCGTGTGGGGGGGCTAGCTTTGATGGACCTATCTTGTGAGGGTCTTGCCTCTGACTGACCTTTCGTGTGAATGACCTTTTGTGTGACTGACCTTTCGTGTGACTGACCTTTCGTGTGACTGACCTTTCGTGTGACTGACCTAGCCTTTGACCAACCTTGTTAGCCTAGCTCCCAACTGGCCCAGTTCCTGACGGATCTGAGTTATCCTGTAAGCAGTGGCTAGATTTGATTCACAATCACATATGACGATGGAGATTTGTTAAGGTTCGCTGCTTGTTTGGGATTTGAATCGCTACCAGGACTGAAAATCTCGTCTTGATTTGGCTGGGATACAGCTAGGCTAGGTGCACGGATTGAGGGGAGGAGGGTAAGATGCCGTTGTTGGAAACTGTGCGACAGAACAAGTGCAGCAAATTTGTGTGGACAGAAAACGTCGGGTAAGGCTGATACGGTCAGGGTGGTTCAGGGTGGTCAATGGATTGGGAAGGAGGTGGCGATATGAATGTAGAGCATTTCTTCTCTTTTTCTTTGCGTCAATCTGACAATATGCCAATTTGCACGGCGGGGCTGTAAAAGTTGTTCTATAATCGCCCTGTAGTATTCTTGTATAGTGTAATGCGTAGTTCCGAGTGTATTATGGATTGCCAAAGGCCAGTGGATTTACACAGTATGCTCGCTAGTGACAGACAAAGGCTATGATTCAACCAGCCTACGACCAACCTAGTCAGTGACTAACCAAGCACGTTTTCCAGCCTCTGATGGACCAGACTTGTGATTCCTTTACAGGTGACCAACTGTGACTGGCCTAGCTTCTGACCACCTACGAGCATGATCATTTTTGCAGCTGTCACGTTGTCTCAACAGTTGCTAATTCTGAGCTTCACCGAAAACAATCCCATTGCGCTCCTTACCACCACCAATAACCCCTTCCACTCACTTATCCCATGCTTCTACTCTGGCCGAACACTTTTTGCGATGGCTGAGCCAATTCTGGCTTAATTTATGGCCAGGGTCTGTAAGTTGTCTCTCAAGCCACGTTTGTGAGTCGACTTATGGAATTTGAGCATGTCCAGCCACGTGTCGAGTTTCTTTCGCTACCATCTCTGTTCTCCCAAGCCCTGTCGTTTCAAGTTCCCTCGTTGTGTGCTCGCTCCGGCTTCCCTCACACGCATGCGTGAGCTTAGTTTTCCTCAGTCTTTCGTCTCCAGTAACAAGAAGAGCTGCCAGGGCCACGTTGCATAAGCTATGCCAGGCTGAGGTCTTCGTCCCGCCGTCATTGCTGCTCCATCCACTCCTCATGCGTCCTATCTTACTCTGTTCCTCCTCCTGGCTTCAGTTCTGGCCTTTTTCTGTTGGTTCTTCTGCCACTTTCAGTGGCCCCCACCTACTTACACTGATGTCAAGGTCTGGTCCAAGCCTCGCCTACCTGCCTCTGTTCACACTGAGGATACAATCAGATTTTGAAATACATAGAAGAAGAGGAGATTCCTGTCTTTGCTTCTCGTGTTCTCTCTTCCCCTCCTCTCCCTTCCTGTCGCCCTACATTTGTGTTTCTTTAAACCCACCAATGTATCCGGGACCATCTGGGTGCTCTGCTAATAAAGCGCGCTCTATCTGACTGATGCTACACCACCTTCTTACCGGCCCCCTATGTGTACCTCTCCAAGCCTGGTCATTGTCTCCCTTGTCTGTCTTCTCTGGTTCCTCTTAGCGTTGTGTTTGTTGTTGTACTATTTCAGCAAATTTCTGCATGTCTTTGCTGTCTCCTCCTACTATGCTTGGCCTGCATGCTTTGCCAGTCGGG